CTTGAATGTGAACAATGTGGTATTGTTATTTTCTCTCGTGAACTTTTTAAAAATGATATTCGAAGTAGCGTTTAATTTTATTTCTGTTTGATTTGGTGTAAGAAAGTTGAATGAAAACCGAAAAATATATTTTAATTTCTACGGGTTTTTTATTTGAAGTAAATACTCCAAAAATGATTTTCTAAATGAGTATTTCAAATAAAACGAAAAAATGTCTACTTTCAAATGTTGATATTCATTAAAGAAAGGCTGTCTGTCCTAAGATAGGAATCAACAAGGTTATCCAGCGATGTAGTATACAAATACAAAATACCTAACATCCATAGTTTTGACTTCCAAAAGCCTCAAATTTTAAGTTGATTTAGCAATCTTCGTTGGTCCCCTTTAATGACACTAGAATTATCGTACAAAGATATTTTAAATTTGACACACAAAGGTTTATATCATAGCTAGAATCCATAGAATTAAAAAGAGCTACATAGATCCACATTCAGGCATTTTCGCCACAATATATAAATTTTTTCTCAATATTAACCTTTTCACAATTTAAAAAAAAAAACTTCGAAAATGCCCTCACATAAGCCCCGGGGGTCTATTTACTATACCTTCCACAACACTCTGCCATTCCGTTTTAGGCTTAAACAAGTAACCATGTCCGTCGGTCTGTGAAAATTACTCTAGAATGCAAAAAATGTCGGAAATAGCATCAAATTTTAGAATAAGTTTGGATTTGTTCGAATTGGTCTCCTTTGGCATTAAATTATTGCCTTCAAACGGGCAATGAACCGTCACACGCTGCCCGAATATTGCTCTGCGGTATTTTCTCCCATTCCCGGCGAAGCGCTTGCATGAGGTGATCGACACTTTGGTATTTTTTAGTGCCAACCTTGTTTCCAAAATACTCCAGACACAATAGTCCAACGGATTGGTATCCGGAGATTTTGTTGGCCATTGTGCGCTAGAAATGAAGCGAGGAACCACATTTGCCTGCGGCCAAAATCTTTGCGTGCCCAAGGCTGTAATACACCTTCCAGAATATTTTCGCGATAATATTTGGCATTTATTCTGACGCCACGGTCGATTAATACGAGCGGAGAGCGACCATCGGCTGTTAGGGCGGCCCACACTATCACCATGGCCGGCGCTTGAGATTTGTTGGCAAACCGAGGGTACACATTTTCAGCTGACCTCTTCGGCAAGTAAAAACGATCATTTTGTTTGTTTACAAACTGCAGGACAACGAATGTTTCTCATCGGAGAAAACCAAATTCGGCAGTTCACCACTTTCGGCCAAGCTAAGCAACTCTTTAGTCCTTTGGAATGCCATTTTTCAATATTTGCTGAATGGATTATTGCGATATGTTCAGCTCACGAGCAATTTCGGCCATTTCTGCTGATGTTCCTGTTTTCTTCCGTCCATTTCCTTGACGTCGGGCTACGCTACCAGTATCACGGTAACGAGCGATGGTAGGAGACATAAAAGATTTATTAACATTTAAATGCTGGAGTGCTCTAACGATAGCCACTCTTGGTTTTCCAGCGAAATATAAAGAAATCACGCATGAATTCCATCACGAATAACTTTTTTCTGGAAAATTCTCACCAAAATGCTTTTGTACGCTTATAAACAATATAATCAGCTGTCACTGGAATAATTTTAAACGCTGTCGGAAGAGTGGCTTAGAAATGACAGCAGTCTGAAGTTGGTTGCAGTTTTTTCATCGCACCCTGTATTAATATATATTATAGCATCTAAAGCGTTTCATTTCAGATAACAAGTTGCGTGAAACGCCTTAAAGTATGTTATGAAAATCCTTAACATAAATGTAGAAAAGTAGATTTACATATGATTCCTACATTATGTGTATTCAGTCTTTAAAAAGTACTTTTCTCTTAAATCACAAGGAGCCCCACGACATACACATAAGCTTCCCTAAAAATACTTCTAAAATAATTTCGGTCCATTGATTGCCAGAAAGGATGATATATGTGAAAATTTTTTTAAGGTGTTTTCTATAGAATACAGCGTCTGCATAAAATCTCACTAAGATATGTAACCCACCAAAGTCTCCCCAACCACACAAGATCTAACAAAAATTCATCTGTACTTGTAACCGGTTTTATGTCGGCCAAACTTAGACATTAGACGTATTCTTTTGCAACCCCTTGCCTCAGTATCACATATTTCTATAATTCTCATTCAATTAATATGAAATATGTTTTCCCTTTATCGCCTGAAGTTTTGTCGGTTCACTGTCTGACAAGGTCCATAGTCCATGACAGAGAGAGAGAAAGAGACCATTAAACGTAAAACATTGCTTCCTGTTTGAGCGTTAAATCATTGAAAATCTATGAACTTATTTCCCCGAGAACCCTTTGAGTGTGTCAGTGGGTAATTTATATTGTAATCTTATCAAAATTTCCATTAAGGATAATGGACATTTGTTTTTGAACCCTTTTGTCTGGAACAATACATTGGATCATCGCATGTGTTCATCTCTGTTGTTTTTTTCTTTTTTATTTTCATTAGTGGCCAAACATATTTTAATGGGTTTTTTGTTCATATTTTTTGGTGGTTAATTTTCTAGGGCATCTTTTGAGATGACCATCCTCCCCCTTTATTATTTATGCCTGACAACCATGAAATATGCTTAACAAACCATTTTACAAATGGTCACAAAAACAAAGAAAGAAACTTTTCGCTTTCTTTGGCATTCGTTAACTGACTCTGACCTTCAACAATAAAAATGACAAAGTATCCTTTTTTCCGACTGGCCGACGTACTGCCTGACCAGTAAAACTTTTTTATTTGAGTATAAACCTAAGTAATCGGCCAATAAAATCAATAACGGATGTTGTTAAGAAATTTGTTTAAAGTCAAAACCGAATTGGTATCTCAAACACGAATTGCTTGCACAAGTATGATATTTCTCGATGCTTGCTGCTTTCTCACTGATTTCATAATCAGGTTTCCGCTCCAGACCGACCGCATTGCCACACGCCGCCACACCGGCATGATGTGGACACGTGTGTATGTGTCTTAATCAGCAAAATATAACATCTACTCTGGGACATTCACTTGCTTGGAAAATCGGAATATAGATCCTAACCTACAGTCACAAATTCGTTGCTGTTGTTATTTTTATCCTCTCCACATTCCCTGTTTCTTTTTTTGTATTTTCCTTTTATGCTGTTGGGACAGGGTTTGCATTTCGATTTGATTTTCCGGTTAGGCAAAGGCCAGAAAAAAGGCAATGAATCTTGTGTTTAAACTAAAATCCATTGAGGACAAATAACTTGATTGTGTGTGTGTGTGCGTGTGAAAGGATGTATGTGTTGGTAAGTTGGTACGGAGCTTAGCCATAATACCTAACGACTCTTCCAGGTGATTGAGATTCATAATACGTTTGTAACAATTTTTACGGTCAAACGTTTTTTTTCGGTTTCAACATTTTTTTCTCCTCTTCGTTGGGGAGAGGGAGAAAATCTCACAACCATCCTTGTGTGTGTGTGTGCGTGTGTTTTGTTGTATTCCATTTCAAAGTCCTTTTACCTTAGCTCTTTCATTTTTAGCGACAACATAATCTAAGAATTAGTTTTCTAGCTTACTTTCTTTTTGAGCAAGGTTTTCCCCATTTTCTCCCGTTACAACATTCTAATCTAGTATAAATGCCTCCTCTTATGTCCGAAATGTTTGATGAATTGCAAAATTGGCATTTTCATGGAGTGTTGAAGGAGTATAGCCCGAAAACGACCCTTTTTGAAAACCTCAAAGGCAAACGGATGAAAGGAAAAGCCAAATAAGAAAAGAAACAGAAAAGGTCAAGGAATTTCATGGGAAATTTTCTCATATGCGTAACAAAAGAATGCTAAGGTTTGGGGATTTCACGAAAAAAAGGTAACGTTGAAGTGGTGGTATCTGGAAAATGTAGTTTGTAACATTTTAACAGGATGAAGTATGTCAAGGATAAGTTAGGAGTTTTTAAAAAAAAAGAAGTTTGTAATTCCACTTCATAGTTGGGGTCATAGAAGCATGTAAGCCATTAATTGGTTGTTTGGAAACCCCAAAAATGTTACTCAATAGGATATAATAATAAAAATATAAAATTTACTTTCCCCTTGTAGTAAAAATATTATGACAAGTGATTAAATATCAGAGCAGAGATTTGCTCATTTTCACACGGCAACGAAACTTGCTCGCGAGTAAGATTGCTCGAAGAGTGAGTATCCTTTTATAGAGTCTCTCTCTTTACTATTTTGTTTAAGCACTCTCGAGTGACTTCTTGTTGGAAAAATTGGAATGGGAGCAAAATCGCTCAAAATAGAAGAAGAGTGAAAAATATTTTATTTTCTGATTTGTGTGTGCATGTGTGTGTGATAGCAAACGGATTTTGATGTTGATGTGTACTGTAAAAGAAGGGAAAAAGAGTAGGAAGTGGGGTGAGATCTTGCAAGAAAAATACCTTTACATAGAAATACAACAACGGTATGACAAAAACTAATGGAGTGCTCGACGAGAGTTGAATCCGCTCGATGTCGAAAGAATTTTGCTCCCGCTGAAAAACGAGCAACATCGAAAAATTGAGTTTGCTCATTTTTTCGGCTCCCAGGAGCGCTCTCGCTCGAATTCGAGTGAGTTTCACTCTTTGTACAAATTCGAGCGAGTTTTTCGGAGGGGTGCAAAATTCGATCAAAAGTGCTTTACTTTCACAGTTTTTGCTAATAATCTTACTTGGCTTAGATTAAAATGTTTTGTACATATAATTAAGATTCATATTTTAACAGATAAACCTCTTTGCAAACTTAAGTGATTGTATAATTCTAATTATAAATTTAAAATTCCCAATAAAGAACGAAAAAAACAAAATACATTACAAGCATCTCCTGAATTTTTAATGGCACTGCCGTTTTTAAAACACTCTTTTGTTAATTTATTAAAAATGTCTCTTTTTTGGTTTACCATCATTCTTAGTTTTTACTTTCTTTTTCTCTCATACCAGGATTGACAGTTCTCTCCTCAACAATTGCCGATGAATCTCTGGATACAAGAGAAAAATCAGATCTCACATTAAAATGCCGTTTTACAGATCAATACGATGCCGATGATTTCACATTTTACTGGGCCAGATGGACAGCGAATCCGGCCCTCTTTGAAAATGTAGCCATTGGTGATGTCCAACTAAATTCAGGCTATAGGTAAGTACTTTTATTATTTCTCCTAACAATTTAATTTAATATATAAAAGCCAGCATCAGGGTAGTCGTTCATCAAACTACAATTTTTAAATCAGAAACTACTTCCAAACGGAAAAAAATTAAATATGATTTTGCAATAACTTCATTGATAATTATTCAAAATTTAAAACAAAATTAAAAATGTATTGAAATATTTTGTTTTACCTAAATCACATTTTTATCATGAGAAAAATCGCAGTTGTTCTTTATAGAAGATATTTTTTAAGACTAGGAAAATATATGGAGACGAAACAAGTGAAGCAGCAAAATTGTTTAAGTTTGGGATGTTAGGCTCACAGTATTCAATTTCTAGACCAAAAATGTTTCATCATTAGTAATTATGGGCAAATTAGGTCTCTTTTTGTTTTGTAATATATCTAATTTTTTAAATAGGAAATCATGTATGTCCTAGCCTATGGCTACTTTAGCCTGTTAATCTTAGTTTACTGACCCCAGCCGTTTTCATTCCGTTACATTTCCATGATTCTCGGGACTAAGTAACTTTGTATATGAGAAATGAAAGACAAACCAAAAAACATTGCACACTAATGTGGTGCAATATTAAACTGAAGGGGTGAATAAGGAATTTATTGCAGGGGCATTGACACACCACAATATGTTTAGATTTTTCATAGCATACTTTTAGGAAATATAGCATAGCATACTATTTAGGAAAAATATTATATTTTAATTGTGTGCGACGATGGGAATGTAATACTCTCTTGTGTTTTAAGTAACTAACTTGCTTTTAAAATATTTCACACTCTAAATCATGTTAGAGATTAAATTTTGGCCAAATACGTTGGCTTAAAAAAACCCGAATTGGACATTGCAGGGCCTTTAAGCAATTTTAATATTTTTCGAAAAAGTCTTTTGCTCTCGTCAAAAAAAAATCTAAGCATTGGTCTCTAGCGTTAGGACTTTTATCAAACCTAGGTGTGAGGATGTGTTCTAATTTTTTTCATATATGCGGATTAATACAAAATGTGGACCGGAATTGCTAAATGCAGTAATTGCAATTGTGGTTCAAAAGTTAAAATCAGGAGGTGAGGTCCGATTTGGCATGTAACACCTCCGAAACTATTCTTAAAAGAGAGCCTATAACAATTAGATGAAGAGAAGTGATTCTACCTAAGATTAATTTACAGCTGATTTTGGTGGTATAGTGGCTGAAAGGTTTGAAAACGTAAGAGAATGTCAAACTTGGGCCCATATAACGTAGTCTCAATGTGTCTTCAATAATACAACTGCTGTGCCGAATTGCAAACCTGTGCATCAAATTCCATAGCCTCTCTAGCGGACAGTGTTAACATGACTTTGAATGCTCTGTCGATTAATAATGGCTATGCCTTATTTCCGGATGGTGCTAAAGTAATGTCTTAATTTCTATAACCCCTACCTTATGGTATATAAGGAAGTATTAAAAATTCTAAAAAACTCTCAATTGTGTGACCTATGTAAAATCATTGGAATTTCTGCCAATTTTGAAAGCTTCCTTTCAATGGACAAACGTTAAAGGTCTTTTTTTCTTTTTTAACCTACGAACACAACCCCTAACATTTTTATTTTTATGTTAAAGGACAATATCAAAAGACTTCATCAGGTTTCAAAACAACCAGTGAAACAGAAGCACAGTGTTACGAAATTCAAAAAATAAAAAATTGTAACTTTATTTTTTATGTATTCACGACTATTTTACTGGAGTTTTACAAACAAAAGTGAAAAATTCGATCTTATAAAAAAAAATTCCATTGTTGACACAAAATACTGCATTTCGACATAGTGTACGTATGCAAAGACCTAAAATGATAAAGACTAGACAAAATGCATTTTGAGCAAATGGTTTGTGAAACAGCTCATGACAGAGGCATGTTATTATAAAACAAACATTTTGAGAAACGAAAGACAAATAAAAAATTGAAAAATCTAAAAACGTGGTTTCAAAATTCTATTCCATAGACCTTTCCAATTAATTACATATAGCCTTAGCGGGTTAAATCACATAACATTTGTAGCTATGTTGTTACGATATCATAACAACAGAGTATGTTCAGTGGGTTGCCATATTTTGACTCTGTCTTGTCCCATCTTTATATTTCTATGTCTTTGACGTATGTTTTTCTAGGTCTTCTTAGATCTGATATTTGTTTATTTGTGTTTTTTTCTAGTATCTGTTTTTTTAATATTTACTACATTTTCGCCCATAGTTCTACCACGTCAAGTAAAATTTTCGAAAAAAAGAAATTAAATTTTGTTATTGGTGATACAAAATGTTTAATTTTGACACACTGTGCCGTGCATCTGTTTTACCACATATTCTTAAAACTGATGATACTTTTTGAGAATTGTCCTTTAACTATCATCTGACTTCTTTGTCTCTCTCTTTGAGTTAAAAGACACCTGCTTATTTTAAATATACTACTCAAAAGTCTTAACAATTTAATTCCTGCTGCACTCACATACCAGATGCTTTTAATAAATTTCCTATTTATAATTTATAAAATATATTATTGTGTGCATTTTTCTCAGAAATCCTAGATTTTTTCTTTATGATTATGTTACGTAGCATGGAATTGAAATAAGTTTTTCATGCCATTCATTAAAACACTTCATTTGCTGTTGGTCATTCGAAACAGCTGTTTGAAGAGAGAAAATATGCTGCATATTTTTAGATTTTTGCACACAAAAACCAAATCTCATAAAGCATATCTCTGTGGTACGGTTTTGATGAACAACAACAACAAAAAAACAAGAACATAAAGAAAGAAGAAAATAGAATTTATTTCATTCTCACCCAGTAAGATATGCATAAATATTTCAACAAAAGTAACAATCCTTTGGGATGCCCAATGATATAGAGACGCTAACGGGGTGTACTCGAGACGAGGAGTCTACTTATTTATGTTATTTATTTATGCTTATCCCCAATAGCGAGTAAACAATGCAAAGCTAGTTGCCGAGAAATAACAAAATGAAATATCTTTGCCATGGTTAGCACAACCGAATGCAAGGACTTAAGTGCAAGAAACCACTGCTACCGAGTCTCAGAGCAGTGCAGTTTGTGCAATGAAGTTTTGCTCGCAACGCACACACACAAACAATCACACCAAATAAGTAGCACAGACAGAAATCCGGCTTCTAAATGCTACTCTAGTCCCAGAGTCCTTAAGGGATTTTTGTATCAACAAAACAGAAGAAGAAGAGAAAATAAAAAAAAATAAAAAACACAACAAAACAAAAACCAAATAAAGCCTGAACTAGGATTCGTTTCGCTAAAATGTAGCCAGTCAAGCAAGCATTGGCAGGCAACGCTCAGTCATGTACATATTATGATAAACGTTACTAAATGAGCATTTTCCCCAAGCAGCGACTCGCTGGCGAAACCTCAGTTGTATGAATTGCAGTCTCCATTCGTCTTTTTTTTCTGAGCTATGCAGGTTGTCTTGCTTTTTTCTGATGTTGTGTTCTATGTTTTGTGGATGGGAAATGATAAAGACAAGTCCTGGTTAGTGGTGGATAGGTTGGTAGGATGGGGAGAAGCGTTTGAAATAAAACGCTTACATTCACATAAATTGCATTTCTTTTGTATTGAGTGTTAAGAAGTTTTATGAGTAAATAAAATGGTTTTAGTGCAATATTGATATAAAACATAAAACAGGAACACAGCGAGAGGAATGAGTGCGGAACATAAAAAAGCAAACAATCATTGTTTTTCACTTGACGAGCTGGAGAGCTGCGTTTTTTTGTCTGTCTTTGTAAAAAATGGTTTCACTTTAATGTCGAGTAAAGGATGTACTGCATCATTTGACTGATCTCAGGGGCCATAGATGTAGAAGCTCCATATAAAATTGATGAGTAAATTGTCTTGCCATCACACATTTTTTATGATAGACATTATTCATTGATAATAATGGTGCATTTTTATTTTCATCAAGAAGAGGATTATGTTTAAATCCTTTGCAAGAAGTCATTTTCGGGTCATTAAAATATCTACACGAATTTTTATTGTATTTTTGATTGGGGGAAAATTGAAAATATTTTTAATGTTTTTTAGGGACTTTTTTCCTCTTTGACTTTTGTACTTTAAAAAGTTTATTGGGATACCTAGTTACAGAATCAATTGCATAGAGTCCATCTTAAAAATATTAATCGCACTTGAATAAATTTTAAGATTTTGCATAGCACTTATGAATTTAATGCCTGGGATAGTTATATGTGTTAATTGGTTGAATCCAATTCAATACCAACCACTCCGTATTTTTGAAAGACTCCGACTCCGAAACAATATCCAATTTATTTTATTTTATAAGTCCTTAACCTCCACTCCCTATATCTTTATATAATAACATTTCAAACTGACAAATGAATGGCAAAAATTAAATTATTTTGTTTTCTGTTGCAAACGTCTTCGAAATGCCAGAATTATATCCCAATACATGGGATTGGAACCGGATAGTTTTGTAAATATTTGAAGTTTTCGGCAGGGCTAAATTATATCCTCTGAGAACCTGACTCCCAAATGTAAGCTAATTTGGTCAAAAAATGCATCTTAAATTTAAACTTACACGAAATCGGCAGGTTCGGTATCAAATAATGAACCTGCATTGTCATTATTTCGTAAAATCAAGGGGAATACTGAAAAACAGAAGGCAGCCCATTTTTGCTAAACAACGTTTTCCACGTTGCACGGATTTGGTTGTTTTCACTCGGGAGCGAAACTTGCTCGCGAGCAGGGTTGCTCGAAGAATGTGAGATTTTACGTAGTCTACTCTTCACTCTTGTGTTTCGTGAGGCAGTGCTCGTGAATTACTCATATTTGAAAAATGAGCGTGGGAGCAGAAGGAAGGAAGAAAGATAGAAAACACATATACATGGAAATACAACAACGATATGACAAAAACTACAAGAGTAGAATCGGCTCGATTTTGAAAGAATATTGTTCCCAGTCAAAAACGAGGTAAA